TATATTTAAATGTAATTTTAACAAATTGACTCAACATAGCTTCTATAAGCATACATAAGCCCAGTTATAGCGATAACTCCACATTTAGAGTTTTCGCCTTTAAGTTCAACGCAATTGCAAAGCAATAAAAAAAGCAATTTCGCTGCGATTTGCAGCATATGTGTTGTTGTTTTTAATGTATTTATTTATGTAATTGTTAAATTCAAGCACTGTCCATTGCACATGCTCCTAAATAACTTAAGTGCCAGGCTGTACGTCTGGCCCCTCTCTCTCTCTATCCCACTCCCCCTTTGACGCTTTTGAATGGCCATTCAAATTGTGCATTGAATGTGCATTGAAGTGCCAGCGCCACCCCAGTGGCCCGCCCTCTTTTCAAAAGTCTCCAGCTCTTCAGCAAACATTCAAAATTTCAACTAGCACAGCGTGTGTGTGTTTGTGTGCGTGTGGGCGTGGCATTGGCTATGGTTTTTAAGGCAGCTTCTATTATGCGAGTGCATGAGTTCCATTTTAATCCTTTTTGGTGCCCAGATTCACAGATTGCAATTGCGAAATTAGTGAGAGCGAGTGAGGGAGAGGGAGACACACATATATGTGCCACGCCCGTTGGTCCTCCTCTTGGTTTATAGTACGCACAATTTGAGCGGGCGACAAAATTTCTATTCAATTTGATTTTAAGCGCATTTTCCACTTAATTGCACGCTATTCGCATGCGAATTTCTTCTTCTTCTCTGCATATATATATATATTTTTTTGGCTCCTGATGGTCTGGGCGTGCTGCAATACAATGTGAACTTTTGGCCGCAATTTAAGCAACGCTTTAAATATATTTAATTGGCAACAGGCGGCACGACAATTTTGTGGTGCACCTCGACGTGTTTATTTATTGTTGGGCAGGAAGTGTGCAGCCGTTTGCAACAGGGGTGGGAGGGGGCGTGGCCGGTGGCCGTTGGCCGTTGGTCGGGTGCAATGTGCACCGTGTGCTGACGTGGCGTATACGCAATATGCCTGACGAGGGCGCAAAAATTGCATTTCATATGCACTTGCATATACGTATGCATGTGTGTGTATGTATGTGTGTATATGTGTGACTCTCTATAGCACACACATCACATTGAGAAATATTTTCGTGTGTGTATGTGTGTGCTTCATGGGAAAATCTATGTCATTTTTATTATTAAAAGCTGCGCATTTGCCGCTTATTTTCGGCCAGGAAAATAAGAAAATTTCTGTGAACGTTCACAGCGAACGCGAAGGCAACTGGCTCGAAATTACTTTGCCAAAAACCTACGCGAGTTGGCTTTTTCGCGTGAATTGCGGAAATTTGCGGAACAGCGCAAAATTTAATGCCAATGCGGAATTCGCCCCAATATTCGTCTTATCATTGTGATTATGATGATGCCATTACTTTTACAGTTTGCATTTGATATGCATTTTTATGCACAAAGTTGGCTCCAATGATAGAAACTTTGATGATAGAAAGTAATTGTATGAGTCATAATAATGGCAATGCTTATACGAAATTACAATGAATTTTTGAAAATAGCTAAGATAAAGAATATTAATTATTTATTTCAATTTTATTAGTGCTGCAATTCCTTATGTATTATTTGTATTTGAATTAAATAAATTAATAAAAAAATGGTTACTGTTATTGTGATAGTAATTAAGCTAATGCTAATGAAAAGAATTCAATGAATTATTAAAATTTTAGTATTGTGGTAATCATATTGCTAATGCTAATAAAAACTATATTATTGAATGAAATTTTATATTACTAATGAAAATTATAACGAGCTAATTATATTAAAAAAATAAAAATAAAATAAAATAAAATTACTAAAAAAATCAATAAACAAATACCAATTATTATATTAATTATATTTATAAGTAAATAAAAAAAAAATAAGCCACTGGAAAAAAATGTTACAAAAAAGTAAATAAACAAATATATAGGAAGCCAACACTAATTATAATTTAATGATAATATTTACTTTAGTAAAAACTGTAATAATAATTTAATTACAATTTAATTGATTCAGTTGAATTGCATATTGCATTTCGTTTCACTATTAACGCTTGACTCAGCTTTCATTGACACTTTGACTAGCTGAAATTCAGCTCCGATGCCTCTCAGATGTGATATTAATTTCAATGTTTCATTTCAATTGCAATTGCCAATATTTGTGGTCAATTGCGATTGCGTGCATTAATTGACATCCGAAGCCACATCAAAATGGCAATCGGAGCGCACTGCAGAGGCAAACGCTCAACTGCTCTCGTAATTAGACTAAGTTATTGCCAATTAAGAGACCCTATATATTTCCATATATACATACATTGGTACAACGTAGGCCGTTTCTATTTACATTAACTTGGCTCAGTTTTATTTGCCGTATTGAGTTCTTTTAAATAAACCGCTTTTAATGAAGCCAGCCATAAGCAGATTTGTGGCTTAGAATATTTGCCAAGGACAAATGAAGACGAAGGGGGGGGGGAGGGGGGCGATGCGCGGCCAGCGTTCGATGGGCGGAGGGTGTAGCCCAACTGAAGCAGGCCCCCGATTTACGACAATGGCTCAGAAATGGTCAATTTACGGTGATGCCTGTTCTTCTTCTTTTTTATATGTTTTGTTTCGCTTTGTTTTTGTGCTCGTTCGCTAGGTGTTTGGGTAAAGTATATTGGCTTTTGTGTGGGATTGTCGACTTCTAGGGGATTGAAATTTTAGTATAGCTGTATATTAGATTGTCTGCTAAGAGTGAATAGTTAGAAATAGAGTTTCATTGCATGGTTTGATTTATTTACATACATCTATACATCTATAGATAATACCAAATCAAAACTGAGAATAGGARCAGCTTTTCCTTGTTCTTTTCTTATATATTTTCTTAGCATCTAAATATGAGGGTAGTAGAAATATTAAATA